CAGTGGCGTGGAAAGAGGCCACGCCGAGGCCGGGTCAAAAGGTTTGGTGTTGACGATTCGTATGTTCCCCCTTATTTAATTATAACAGTCCTTAATAATTTAAACGGGATTTTGGTCGGGGGGGGGGGTACTAGAATGCCTATTCATGTAAGGGGGACATCCCAAGTTGACGAGCTTCTTGTGCGTGGAGTGTTTTCATGTTCGCTGGGGTTTAGGGTTTAGGGTTTCAGGGATGTTTACGGGTTCCCGGTTAATCAGGTTTGGAGGCTTAGGATTCAGGATTCTGAAGCCCTAAATTCAGCACCGAATTTCGGGGTTTAGGGTTTATGGCGAGCCTTTGATGTCTAGTCTATGCAGCCTTAGCTAGTTCCCAGCGACCGCAGCCCCTCTTGATCAAAATCTAACGCACTCTAACCCTAAACCGTAAACCCTAAACCCTAAACCCTAAACCTAAACCCTAAACCTTGTTCCTATACCCTAAACCCTAAACCCTAAACCCTAAACCCTAAACCCTAAACTGGGTGGATCCTCTATGATGTGAGGAGAAGCTCCTTAGTCAAGGGCACTTGGAGTCGGAATCCCGAAGCCCTCAAGGCCTCAAGCCTGTTAGGGTTTTAGTGTTTGGGGTTTAGGGCTTAGGGTTTTGGGTTTAGGGTGTAGGGTTCTCGGCTATAGGTTATGGGGTTTAGGGCTAGAGTTCGACATCAGTTTAGGCCTTCATGGGCGCCTCAGGTGTCGAAGCGCAGCGAGGTGCTCACCGCAGCGCTGAGCGAGCTGGAAAGGCGCGGGGCAGAAAGCGAGGGTTTAGGGTTTGGGGTTTAGGGTTTAGGTGCTGTTTTTTATGGGGAGCAAATGACTGGCTGGTTCGTAGTATGGAATGAGGGAATGGTGTACCCTATGCCCCCCCACATATACCCGAGAAGGGAGTCTGTAGGGTACCGCATTCCCCCATTCCCTACTAAGAGCCAGAGGGATGAACCTTGTAATTGGGGTCCTATACCCTTTGCTACGAGTATTCCTTGTAGTAGGTATATGGACCATGAGCCCTTTTAAGGGCTCAAAGTAAGGGTTTCAGGTCTAGGTCGTGACGTCGACGTCGGCAACACCTGGAACAGCTACTACACATGTACCTCTTCGGGGTGTAGGGTTGTGGGGTTTAGGGTTTAGGGTTTCGGGTGGCCCTAATAAGGCTGGTTCAGGGTTGTACCGGCCATATGTCCTGGTTCTTGGTCAGAACCCTACATCATCCCTTACAGGGTAGGTACAGGGGGATATAGTCCCTCATTTGCTACTAAGGACCACCAAGTGGGGTCTGGTTTGGCCAGTGGGGGCCTGCAAGGACTGTCACCGTCACTGGGAGTGACCCCATACCGGGCAGCACGGGCTCACATGATCCCTTCAAACCCTAAACCCGAAACCCTCAACCCTGAACCCTAAACCCTAAACCCTAAACCCTAAACCCTAAACCCTAAACCCTAAACCGCCCTAAACCCCAAACCCTAAACCCTAAACCCTGAACCCTAAACCCTAAACCCTAAACCCTAAACCCGAAACCCTAAACCCTAAACCCTAAACCCTTGACTTCATCCAAACGCTGAAGGCCCATGTCCAACTTCATGGGCTGAGCCGCAGAAGCTGGACCGAGGCCGTGCAGGCCTCAGAACGCCTTTGGGGTCTATGGGGCTTGTAGGGAAGCTTAGAAGTACAGGCTAGGGTTTAGGGTTTAGGGTTTAGGGTTTAGGGTTTAGGGTTTAGGGTTTAGGGTTTAGGGTTTAGAATTTAGGGTTTAGGGTTTAGGGTTTCGGCGTATGAGTTCAGACCCTGAGGGTAGCATGGCCAGCGGACTGCTGTAGCTACGTCGGCCCCATGGGTACCCTGACAAAAGCCAGTGTTATCGGGGGTCTTGGGGCTTTATAGTAGGTAAGTATCGGTTTTAGGGTTTAGGGTTTAGGTTTCGGGGTTTAGGGTTTAGGGTCTAGGGCCAGGGTTATGCCCAGAAGCCCTAAAACCCAAATTCCATGAGGCTTGGAGTCATCCACTTCCTGCCTGGGAGTTGTGCTGACGACTGCACGTCAATTGCTTTCAGCTTATCCCCCTGGTTCTCAGTAGGGAATGGGGGGAATGAGGTACCCTACATAATCCCTTAAAGGTTTTAAAAGGGGGGATACAGGGTACCCCATTCCCTCATTCCCTACCAAGAACCAGCAAGTTATGTTGCATCGCCACGCTTGCGCAGGAATTGTTTGGCCCGAAGTCCCATGCCGAAGATGGTCAGCTGGGTTTACGGCCCTAGGGTGTAGCCCGGTGCCTTTCAAGGGCAACATGATTTTGGAGAACCGCGCAGATTTCTGAACCCTAAGTCCTGCAAGGCACACTCTGAACTGCAGAACTTCCTGCGCACGCATGGGAGCCAATCGATTTCAGGATCAGAGCTTCGACTCTAGTGTCCCCCCGGTTAGGGTTTAGGCTTTAGGGTTTAGGGTTTAGACAAAGAGCAAAACAAACACATACAGCCCCAAAAAAGCCCTGAGCCTGAGAAACCCAAACCTCCAAAACCCCAAATTTCTACAAACCTAAAGCCTAATGCTGAAGCCCTCAAGCGCAGCGCACTAAAACCCTGAACACCGAAACTCGACAACCCCAAGTATCCTAACGAAGCCGAAAGCCCCCTCAAATCCTGAAAGCCTACTAGTCATATTCCCTTATGACCTTGTGGTACCTATATGCAAAATTAGGGCACCTTCTTCGGGGTCCTATTGCAAGGGAATCCTACTATTTGGGGGGCTCATTTTGGGGGTCCCTATTTTTCGTAAACCCCCATATATTTATGCCATACATACCCCCCCCCCCCCCCCCAAACCCCCATTCTAATTATGAAGGCCCCTCGACTGCAACCCTTACTCCTGAAACATCCCCAAAGCCAACCAAAGCCCTAAACCGTCCCAAGTCCACAGCCCCGACCCTGAAACATCCGAAGACCCGAAGCCCTACACGCACCAAAACCCTGTAACATCCTACAACCTGGGCGCCAACAACCCTAAGTTCTCATCCATCCATCAACCAGAAGCCCCCCCAAAATTCCAAAACCCCAAAAAACTACTAAACGCCTGAACCCTACAACCTAAACCTCCCAAACCCCTAAGCCCTTAAACCCGTAAACCCCTAAACCTTAAATCCCTCATCCCAAGACCCCAAAACCCTTAAACCCCAAAGCCCTAAACCCTAAACCCCAGAACCCCTAAACCCCCACGACCCTAACCCCTAACCCTAAACCCCTAATCCCCCAAAAGATTCGACCCCTAAACCCTAAACCCCAAAAACCCTAGACCCTTTAAGGGCACCCTAAGCCCTAAACCCTAAACCCTAAACCCTAAACCCTAAACCCTAGACCCTAAACCCTAGACCCGAGACCCTAAACCCTAGACCCTAAACCCTAAACCCCAAAACCCTAGACCCTGTAAGGGCTTAGTAACCCTAAACCCTAAACCCTAAACCCTAAACCCCAAAACCCTAAACCCTAAACCCTTTAAGGGCTTACCAGGGGGGCAGCCCCACGGTCCAGACTCGGAGCTGCACATGCCAGCCGAGAAAAAGGGTGCAGTGAGTCATTTTGTTGGGGGGGATTTAGGGTTTAGGGTTTTTAGGGTTTAGGGTTCAGGGTTCAGGGTTTAGGGTTTAGGGTTTAGGGTTTAGGGTTCAGGGTTTAGGGTTTAGGGTTTAGGGTTTAGGGTTTAGGGGGGGTGTGCGGTTTTTGTTAGTGGTTGCTTTGGTTTGGGTTGTTTTGGTTTGGCTCTGCTCTCGGGAGTTTTGGGGGTGGTTTCTGTGTTTGGGGGTGCTTCGGGCTTGTTTGGGCTTCAGCTAGGATAGTCATGGCGCGGTCGACAACACAGGTGGGAACGAACATCCTACCGTCACAACAACGCCACGCTGCGCCATTGCGTTCGTTTTGCAGCTTGCATGTTTGCCTGCGCGGCTTGACCTTTTCGGGGGGAAGGGTCTTTCGGGAAGTCATAAAGATCTAGTACCCCCTTATTAATTGTTAACTAGCCCCTAGAGTACCGTTTCACAGCACCGACGGTTCGGGCATAGGGGTTCAGGGGCTCAGGGCTGTAGAGCCAGGAGACTTGAAGACAGGGTACTAGGACGCAGAGGGTAGGCCCTTATTCCCCTTTTTTTGGGGTTCAGGGTTCCCTAAACAGCCCCTTCAAAACGAAAAGGGCACCCTTTTTTATTCCTAGGTTACTCTTTGGGTTTAGGGTGTAAGGGAAACTTGCCCCCTAAACCCTAAACCCTAAACCCTAAACCCTAAACCCTAAACCCTAAACCCTAAACCCTCGTTGCGCAACTTGCTACTTCGCGGCTGCCTCTGATGGGCTCAAGTTTCGTCTTCTCGTGCTTGCTTCGGCATCTTAGTTGCTGCCTTGTGGACCACATGAACCCTAAGACTGGATCTTATACCCTACGCGGCCATATTCCCCAGAAGGGTATGTGAACCCTAAACCCTTTCGGGTTTCGGCAAAGTCGTTTGTGCCGACTTGCGGGACTCGACTTTAATCATCTGCTTTGAAGCCCCGCAGAGTTTTTTGAACCCCCAGGGTGGCTACATCTCCTATTCGTCCTACACATGGCCAGCACATGTTTGCAAACCTATATAATCTTTAATCTTTGAAGCTGAAATCTTCTTTCAGGCAGCGCCCCGCAGCATACCTGTCCTGCCTGAAACGCAGCATCAGCTTTCAAGTTTCTCATTGCTGCTGTGGACCTTTGGACGATGGCAAAAACCCTAGACTGGAAGGTCGTGCAGAGAGCGCAGTCAAGTGCACAGTCCGAGGCAGTGCGGCGCGGGAGCCGCGGAGAAGGTTCCTCGCCCTTGATGACAGGCCTGGCACTCGCCCTGCTTCCATGTGAGTTGTGTGTTGAAGAAAAGGCTGTGCAGGCATGCACCGTGGCAAGTGATTCCGCATCGATTGAGACGTGAAGCTTGCGGGTCTGGTCTCTTGATGTCTCTTGCATCTATGGTAGTGTTTGCCATGGACTCGTCGCCCGAGATCACGTCCTGCAACAACAATGACAGGTTAGCGAGTGTGGTCCATAGTGACTTGGTGAAGAGCTTACGGGAATCGAATGATGCCACATTACACGCCCAAGAGGCCTGGATGCAGCTGGAGAGGCTGGCTACGCATGTACGTTTCGTAGGGAGTGTCGCCGACTTGCTCGACAGGGAGGGTTTGTTCGAAGCTTTCAAGGATTGCAAGCTCCTGACACGTGACCGACTGGTCTGGCAAGCAATGGGGTGGTTCCGTACTCCTTTGGACTTGCATCTCGCCACGGACCACTTGTCGGGACTGGTCAAGGAGGACAGCGCCCAGGCGTCACAGCTCCGAACCTCCTACTACAAGACTCAGTCTGACGTGTTGCTCACAATTTCGAGGACGACGACGCGCAGCTCGTCCTGTTCAACCTCGGTCGCTTGGTGGAGCTGGACATGTTCGACCGGTATAACTCACCTCATTGGCGATGCGCTCTCCAGGGCACTGCCTGACGGCATGGCTGCGTGGTGCAGAGCCCGCAGGGCTCATTGAGTCTTTGGCAAGCTTGGGCCAGGACCTACCCCGACTTCCTGGCCCCAGTGAAGGATGCCATTCGCGCAAGCGCGCAGTCCAGCTTGCGTGCCATTCGACACTCAGTGACCGTGTGGTCCTTGCTCCATCGAGAAGCTCCGCCAAAGAAGTATTGGCTTCCGACGATGGCCGGCGGAAGTTTCGACGCTTAGACGTCATCGTGCGACGGGAGTCTTGCGCGCAAGAGTCTTGCGCACGGCCTTTGCCTTCCTCGGTGCGAACGGCTTTGCTGACGTCGGCCTTCTGGAGCAGACACTGAAAAGGCAGGGGGACGGAAGGACGTGCTGAATCGCACCGTGGATGGCTGGGTCACCAAGCTGAGGACAACGCACTCGCGCACGCAGAAACACCTTCTTCAAGATCTCATCTGCTCGGAGAACGTGTGGTCTCGAAGCATGAGCCACAAGGGCTTCGGACCGGTCCGAACTGGGAGCTGACGCAGAACGGCCATCCAAATCACGCGATCCCGCGGGAGCCGGGGCCGTGTGCTGTGGAAATCTGTTTCAGCTCTGCCGTGATGTGATGCTAAACTGACCTCCGATGGCATGGGAGGAACCTGCTAGTGAGCATAAGGCATACGATGCGGCGTCAGCGACCTTCTTGAAGAGGTTCTGAAGTCTGGGCCCTTGGGTTGTATAGGGCACAATAGGGGGTCCATATTGCGGGGCCATGAAACTACCCGAAGATTCGCTAGTTTGTGCAAAGCGAAACGTAGCACTCGAAGCGTCTCGTGTTTGAATGTAAATAACAATGCTGAGGAGCCTGTGACTTGTCCCGCTCCCGCCCGTTTTTACCTCCGGGTAGTTTGTTGTTCCTTGCTTGCAGAAAAGGCAAGTCTGCACGGACAGTCGGGATTCTTGCGCATCCCCAAGAACAAACGAACGTGTGCAGATGTAGTTGCAGAGCGAGGGCTGCGACGACTATGTGTCACAGTGATTGCGGGGCTGGGTGGGTATGTGTTATGTGTACATGACAAAACTAGAGACAAGTAAGTGCCGGAAAGGGGTTTTTGATGCCGCCCGTCATTCTCCGCGCAGTGCCTGTGGTGGACCGCAGGTTTAACAGGAAAAAGTAGGTTGGACCTTGTCCTCACTGCCGCCAAGCTCAAGCTTCAAACCCCGCTCGGCGAATCGAGCTGCTTTGCAGGGGCAACAGTACAGCTGCTTCCAGCAGCAGAAGTTGCCGGCGACCACCATCACAGAGAAAAGCTGTGCTTTGTAACGACAAGACTGTCTGTGAAAAAGTGCTGGCGACAAAAGACATTGTGGCCCTAGAGCTTGACAAAGGGCAAGAAACACACAGACACACACACACACACACACACAGACATATATATATATATATGTATTATATATTATAACCTTTTTGATCGATTCTTATATTTATTTGGGTATATTTATGTTCGCTGTCATCGAGCTTCACATTGTGAGTTGTGAGTACTGCGACTATACATCAGAATGGTGCGGGGGCCATCGCGCTACTAGTCACCAGATGGACGGCATGGGCATTCGGAGTTCATGGTCTTTCTGGGACCTGATTTACCTGCAGTTTTAAGGGTTCTACCCTCTAAAGAGGGGGTGCTTACTTCTAGTCTGTAGGCAGATAGGGTCCCAGGTCAGGTATAGAGACGTTGCTTTTGCCATGCGGCCCTTCCCTTCCCAGCCTAGTTCAAAAGGTTGCGACTGACAGTGGTTCAGTGGACTATCTTGAAATCATGGGGTTCTCAAGGGAGGGGGGTTCATGGGGGGTTAGGTACTTGGGAACCTTAGGGAAGCTTAGAGAGCCTTAGGGAGTGGGGAGTGGGAACCTTGGGTTACCCCACTTTACATACCCCACGTGAACCCCCCTCTCCCTTAAGAAGCCTAGAATGACACATGGGACTTGACTTGGAAAACCCTAGACCCGAAACCCTAAACCCTAAACCCTAAACCTATAAACCCTAAACCCTAAACCCTAAACCCTAAACCCACAACATGGGATGGCGTTTGTTTTGCGGTGCCCTGCTGGTCTGCCTGGGCGGCGCCTGCATTTCGCAAGTGGGCCGAGCGCCAAGTCCTTCGTTGCCTTATGAGGGCCTGGGAGCCATAGCTGGGCTCTTCCTTGGAGTTGTTCATGTTCCTGAAGATTCAGCCGGCAGATACTTCTCCAGCTTTTCCTTCGGATGCAGGGTGGCATTTTGCAGTGCTGTTGCCTTTCTTTCGGCATATGCGGCAGCCTATCCATGGTTGCTGATACCAAAGCTGGGACCTCTGGAACACCACAGGGTAATGGTCTTGCGCTGGCAGCAAGTGCTCGCTCTGGCCGCAATGTCCTCCATCTGGGTGTTTTGCATCCTCAAGAAGCACCCGCGTTCCGCCTACGCGCATGACGCAAAGTGGTGCATGTTTGGGTACTGGCTCGTTACGCTTGCCTTCCAGGTCGCCGATGTCTGCTGGGCATTTGGCTTGAGCAGCGGCTTGCCCTCATGGACTGCATGTGGTTATGCCATCGAGAGCGTTGTCATCGGTTGGATAGGCTACATCTTCCAGATCCGAATGACGGGAATCAGATCCCGCTCTACGGGCTCGTATCGACCAACCATGTGCATGCTCCTGCTCGGCGGGGCCTTCTTTATCAATGCATTCAGCGACGCGTTGCTACGCGCAAAAGTACTGCCTCTTGAACTTGTGCTCATCCCGAACGTGCTGTTCGTTGCCATGTGGTCCGTGTACACTGCTCTTGTGTGCATGAGCTTGGTGCGCAAACGGTCCTTGGCACTGCAAGAGGTCAGGCGAGTAAGAGGATTTGCCAGGCAGCAGGCCAGGTGGGCTGCTCGGATTCTTGGATTGGAGCTGTTGACGTGCGCAGTGGTGGGAGTGACAACTTGCTCCAAATGGCTTCCCGTAGTTGTTCTGCATTCTATGCAGTTGCTTTCACGCCCTCACAAGTTGGACATGAGCAATCAACTGTACCTTGCAGTGTTCTACTACTTTCCGTCTATAGCCAGCCGCTGTGACCGGGTCATCAATTCGCTGGGTTTGGCCATCCTTTCTGGGATTCTTTGGCAGGAGGCCCCTCCTCAAGGAGACGACGAAGAGTTTCGGAGAAGCGCAAGCGCGCGTGGCTTGGCGTCCATGGCAAAGCTGCTGAATAGCCGCGAGCAGGAAGTGTACCCTATATCCCCCTTGGGAATTATTTGTTGTTTTTTGTTTGTATTCAAACCCAAGAGGATCTTAAACATACTATTTTTGTTAAGGTTCTAAGGGGAGTAGAGGTACCAAGATGTCGTGGCGCAGTTGGGCCGCCGTGGCTTTCGCCTCAGCTCGCTCCTGAATTTCTGGGGCCAGCTGGTCGAAGAGGACAGACTGATGCCAGGTTTCGATCCGCAGCGCTCGTTGACAAACGACGTGGTGCGTCAGGCCATCATCCCCCAGTCCCGCTTGGGGGAGGATGGGTATGCCTTGGCGACCCTCTGGTGCCCTGAAGGGTTACAGCCGCAAGTGATGGTGTCGCATAACTGGACCAATAGCTTCAGGAACTTGGTGGCTGCCATACTGGCAGATAGGCTGGGACACCGGGTTCACGGGGAGGTTGCTGAGCAGATTTCCGTCGCCACGGGCGTCGCCCAAGTCCGTGCCCAGCTGGCTGACAAGCTGGACGCCACTTACTGGGTATGTGCCTTTTCCATCAACCAGCACGCGAGCATCTGTGCTGGATTCGGTCCAGAACCGCCGCAGAACAGCCCCGAGTGGAATTCCTGGCACGCGAAGACACTTGATTCCGTCACTGGCAGGGTCTTCCCCTTGTGCGGCTGCAGGGTCGAGAAGGTGTTTGAGAGCACGGATGGCAGGTGCGAGCTCAACAAGTTCGATGACATGATGGCGCATCTTGCTAACACGGCGACAGACTTCAGGCAGCTAGTTGTTGTGGATGACCGGTTCGACCTGTTCTACCGTGCGTGGTGTGTCGCTGAGATCTTTGAGGCCAGCGCTCTCCGCATGCAGTCCAACATACAGGTTTCATCCCAACAAGTTGTGGACCTCAACTATGACAGACTCTCGCTCCTAGATGTCAGGCAATGTGCTGCCTCGTCCCCCAAGGACAAGGACATGATCATGGCCAAGATTTTCGATGTGCACGCGTTTAATTTTAAGATGCAGGAGCTTGTTTTTGGCACCGAAGCCGGTTTGTTTGCGGAGTGGGTTGATGGCCGGGAGCGCTCCCGGCAGGTCGGCAGAATTCTACGCCGCTGCGCACTAGGCGCTGACAGTGCCGGAGGTCATCAGGCGGCCAGTTCCTGTCGGTGCTGCACCTGGCTGTTCAGGACAGCTAGCAGCAGCGACACAGAGGAGTCATCACAAGAATGGTCAGATTCTGCGTCAAGCTACAGCGGGTGAGTCAAAAGAGCCGTCACACTGGCAGCCCTACGTCAACTGTGCGAGAGCTGAAAGCGGACTTGCAACCTGCCGGATTGCATGAATACGGTATATTGATATTTATTTCTATTTATATTATATGCATTGCCATACTGCTTATTTAGAATACTGACACATGGTTCTTTATTGCCACAGCCCTTTGGTGAGATAAGTTCCGCTTTTGCTCATGAATTCCGAACGGAGCCATGACGCCTTCCACGTCTTTGAGGGTTTAGGACTTTGGGGATTCGGGTTTAGGATGTAGGGCTTAGGGTTTAGTCTTCGAGGGTTTAGGACTTTGGGGATTAGGGTTTAGGATTTCGGGCTTAGGGTTTAATTAGGGCTTCTGAGTATTTCCACAGTTCTAAAGTCTGACTGCAACTTAGTGTCCTACTCAGGCTAGACTTGGCTCTCAGCGTGAACCTTAGAACCTCCCCCCCCCCCCCCCAGAAAAATGACAAAAAACTATTCTTCCTCGTACGGGCAGTATAAGGATTATCATCATTCTCATGTTTTTTTTTTTTTTTGGGGGGGGGGGGGGGCGGGGTGGGGGGGTGGGGGGAGGGGGGCTCTTAAGCAAATGGTAGGAAAGAGTAAGCTTTGCAGATTGACCCGAAATCCTCAACCCAGAGTTTCCGGCAGAAGCCCAAAGTCCTACATCCCAAATCCCACAATGGAGGTGAGGGGCTTGGGCCAGGGTTTGTATCAAGAGCAGTTAAACCCTAAACCCTAAACCCTAAACCCTAAACCCTAAACCCTAAACCCTAAACCCTAAACCCTAAACCCTAAACCCTAAACCGAAAACAAGGTGGGAATCGGCAACTTCCAACCCTGGCTTGGTCGTTATACGATATCTCTGAGGCTCCAACTTCCTAGGTAGGATAAGGGTGACCCTTAAAAGGGAACCCCTTCTGTACCCTCTTCTGGCTCTCTTAAACAGGGACCTTATTCAGAGGGTCTATATCCCCAAGGGTCCCCCGAATCCTATCCCCTACAACTAAGGAGGTTGGGCTGAGGACTTCAATACCGTGAATACGAGGCCCTAGGCCCTAGGCCACTGTGCAAAACCTCTGCTCTTGAGTTCCCCCTTATACTAGCAGTCCTTGATAGTACCCCCTATGATAATCCCTATCAAGGACTGCTAGTATAAGAGGGAACATCCCAACCTATGGCCCCAGAGGCTGAGTCCTATTTTTGAGGACCCGGAGGCCCTTGTTCTCTAGTCATCCCATCCTCAGAACCTCACGATTCCTCACTACACTATGCAGGAAATTCTGCAAATCGCCATGACCCAGGAAACTTACGCAGGAAGTTTTCAGAGCATATTTTATCGTCTCCAGATTTCTTTTCATTTGGGACCTTCATTTTTTCCCGGAATGCGTAGCAGAAGGGTTTCAAGTTTTCATCATCTTCCTTGGGAGCCACATGAACCTAAGATGGTGGGTCATACACTCTATACTACTACAATTGATATATTTTAAGGTCATATAGTGTGTTCTCTGAATTAATTCACAATTTGGGTCGCTTTTTGCGTACCCTCAATAAGAGGGCCGCCTAATAAGGAACCCAAAAGGGACCACAATTAAGAGAAATCACTGTATTAAACACAAACCCGTTTAGGGGGTTCATCTGGTCCCCAAGTTTGGGATATTTCAGGGGTATCGGTATGGTCCCTATGTACCTAAGAAGCCCCTGCATAACCCTTAAAGAACCCCTAAGGTCCCTCTGGTCCCTAATAAGGGTCCCTCCTTCAGTCCCTTGAGATTGTTAACCAGTTATAACTGTACTTGGACTACCCCCCCCACTTATAAGCCCCTTAAGTGCCCGAATATGGTTGGAAGTACCATGAACCTCCAAGCAGGGTTTTGGGGTTTAGGGGTTTAGGGGTTAGGGGTTTAGGGGTTTAGGGGTTTAGGGGTTTAGGGGTTTAGGGGTTTAGGGGTTTAGGGGTTTAGGGGTTTAGGGGTTTAGGGGTTTAGGGGTTTAGGGGTTTAGGGTTTAGGGTTTTGACGTTTTTTTACATGTTGACCCGCTGGCGAGCAAAAGGTGGCGGGAGCAGCTTGGAGCCCCACCTGGGTCCAGGCCGCGCTGAAGGGGGTTCACGGATTAGGGTTTAGGGTTTAGGGTCTAGGGCTAGGTTTAGGGTTTAGGGTTTAGGGTTTAGGGTTTAGGGTTTAGGGTTTAGGGTTTAGGGTTTAGGGTTTAGGGTTTAGGGTTTAGGGTCTAGGGCTAGGTTTAGGGTTTAGGGTTTAGGGTTTCGGGTTTAGGGTTTAGGGTTCATTGGAATTGTATAGGGTTCGGGTCCCAAAAGTTTTGATCGAAAGTTCTGGGCGAATGTCTTGTGCGTGTTTCGGGGCGGGTTTTGTCTCTTGCGTTGAGCCGTTGGCTCCCCAGTTACCACTATTTGCTTAAGAACCCCAAAAGAATGAAACATAGTAATCCCTATATTGACCTTGATAAGGAAGAACATCTTAATTGTTTTGAGGTTCGTCGGCAAGTAGTAGGTTAAGGGTCTAGGGTTTAGGGTTTCAGGTTGAGGGTCTCCACGGCCTGGGCTTGGGGTGTGGGCTGCGAGTGCCTCCTATGTGGGGTTCCAGTTCTCAGGATCTTGAGGGTTTAGGGTACAGGGTTTAGGTTTAGGGCACAGGGTTTAGGGTTTAGGGTTCAGGGTACAGGGTTTAGGGTTTAGGGCAAGTCTTTTGCTTTTTGGGTTTCCTTAAAGCTTTACTAACTGTTGTGGTGGTTTAAAGGGCAGGTTTCTGTTGGTTCGTTTTGTTGGAGAGGGGGGTTTAGGGTCGCAGAATCAGGGGATGGGGGGGCTTGCCGATTTCCGACCTTGACATTCAGCATGCAGGAGTCGGGTTCTGAGGGTTGTGCCTTGATCCCCCCAGAGCAGACACTGCTTTCTGCAGACCGTTGCTATTCAGATGGGCAGTTGGTTCAGGGTTTAAGGCTTCAGGTTTAGGGTTTAGGGTCTCCAGAGCATGATTTCTTGGCAATATCCTCTCAGCACTTGTTTCTGGTGCAGCAGCTCATCCCATCAGCAGTGTGTCAGAGTCGGAGAGAAGGGACACTCCGGAAAACAAAGGTAACTCTGGGACCAAAACGTCCCCGAAAATTGTGGCCATACAACTTATCCTACTATATTGAGGTATATGAACCCGAAACCCCAATAAATCCTTTGGCCCCCAAAAACAAACTCATGACTCATGGCGATGGCCAGCATGCGGCGCTTGCTTTGGTGGCTCTGCGCCGCTTCCTGGTGGCCTGTAGGGGCTCAGCTGGAGCGCTGTCAGGCTACGGTGGCTCACTGCGTCTAGGATCCCAAACAGCTGGCTGGCTCTTCGTAGGGAATGAGGGAATGAGGGCCCCTATATAAGCCCTTAAAGGGTATATTATATATCGGGCCCTAATCCGTACTAAGAAACAGGGGGACAGTCGTACCCCTTTTCCTCCTTTGTCTTGCGCTGAGTAAACCCTAAGCATCCCAAGGGCCCTGAACCCAGACCCTCAACAAGCAAACAAACGAATCGCAGTCGTTTCCTTCTGTTTTCTCCCTGGCTCCTTGGGAACACCTCCCTAAACCCTAAACCCCTAAACCCCTAAACCCTAAACCCTAAACCCCCCTAACCCCTAAACCCCTAAACCCTAAACCCCTAAACCCTAAACCCCCCTAAATCCTAAACCCTAAACCCTAAACCCCTAATCCCTAGGCCCTAAACCGTTAACCCCCTATAAGCCCGAAACCCAGGCATTGTGGGGCATGTCCGGAGCTTTACTCAGAGAGACTTGGGCTTGTGGATGTGGATGTGGAGGGGGGGGGGGGGGAAGGGGGGGCCTTGATAGCCCCAAACCCTAAACCCTAAACCCTAAACCCGATTCTGGGCAATGTTTTAGTGAGGTTTAGGGTTTAGGGGGGTAGGCGGTTTTCGGGGTTAGGGTTTCAAGGGGGTTGGGAGTTTAGGGGTTTAGAGCTTAGGGGTTTAGTGCTGCAATTCCTGCGGCTCATAAACAATGGAAGAAGATTAAGGGAGGGGGATTCCTAGGGCTCCCTAAGCTTCCCTAAGGTTCCGCAAGGGCTCAGGGGTTTAGGGTTTAGGGTTTGGGGTTTAGGGTTGAGGGTTTCGGGTTGCCTAAGGTTCCCTAAGGTTCCCTAAGGTTTTGAGAGGTTCCCTAAGGTTCCCTAAGGTTCCCTAAGGTTCCCTAAGGTTCCCTAAGGTTCCCTAAGGTTCCCTAAGGTTCCCTAAGGTTCCCTAAGGTTTTCTAGGTTCCTACGCCCCATCAACCCCTTCTCCCTTAAGAACCTGATAAGGAGGGGTCTACAGCTCCATCTACCAGACCCTCGTGTCCCGAGCTTCGCCAGTGGAGTGTGCTCGCTTCTTCTACGTCCTTGGCATGTCCTCGGTGCCTTTTCCGCTTACGTTAGGGGGGTTTAGGGTTTAGGGTTTCGGGTTCAGGGTTTCGGGTTCGCCCCCCCCCCCCCCCCCCCCCCCCCCCGCTTTTTTGGGTTTAGGCTTTGCTCTGCCTATAATTACACCCTTAACTTTGGATGTTCCCCCTTATACTAACAGTCCTTATTCGGGATTAAAATAGGGGGTACTATAATCCCTATTCCATACGCCCTGCTCCCTCATGTTTTCCCCAGGGCTACTGTGCTTGGTAGCCTACTGGTACCCTTCTCCCTCTTTTTGTTTCAATGTTCCCTTTTAAAGTAGCCAACCCAAAAAAGGGTGCCCTTATTTTAATATGGCTACTGGGCTACCAAGTGGCAACTCAGGAGTCTGATACCTCCAAGGGTGGGCTGTACAACTTCGAGGCCGCACTTGAAGCGCAGCCCCGAAATCCCTGCAGAACCCTGAACCCTATAAGGAGCCCCAGGTCCGAAGTCCTGTACCCCTCCTGCTAAAGTCCTAAAGCCTCGGACCATCCTAAACTCTCCTACCCATAAGGCTCCCGGGGACCCTCCTACGGAGGGAACTGCTAGCTCCCTAGCAAGGCTTCTGGGGTGTGAGATCCTGGGGTTTGGAGGGTCCATGAGCCTTAGGTTAAGCCCGAAACCCCAAACCCTCCTAAACCCTAAACCCTATAAAACCCCATAACCCCATAAACCCCATAGAGCCCATAAACTATATAAACCCTAAACCCTGTAACAGCCCTAAACCTCTAAACCCTAAAAACCCCACAAACCCCATAAACCCTATATAAACCCTAAACCCTATATAAGCCCTAAAACCCTAAAACCACCATCAACCCCATAAACCCTATATAAACTCCATAAACCCCACATTAACCCCACAAGCCCCATAGAAACCTTAAACCCTAAACCCTATAGACCCCCTAAACCCTAAACCCTAAACCCTTAACCCTAAACCCTAAACCTAAACCCTAAACCCTAAACCCTAAACCCTAAACCCTAAACCCTAAACCCTAAACCCCCTTCGAGGCCGAGTCCCTCAGAAGCGCTTGGGAGCTGATGCCACCCTCGGACTTCGTCCTGGATCCACCGAGCCTTTTTGGTTCTTACCGGGGGTTTCGGGTTTAGGGTTTAGGGTTTAGGGTTTAGAGGGTTTAGAGGGTTTAGAGGGTTCAGAGGGTTCAGAGGGTTTAGAGGGTTTAGAGGGTTTAGAGGGTTTAGATGGTTTAGGGTCTATAGGGTTTAGGGGGAATGGGAGGGTTTCGGGCTTGAGTTGTTTGAGTCGAGGAATGGATCTCTGTGGCAACATACCCCCTTCTAATCCCCCCACAGTTTTTATGGTCAGGTCTCCAAACCCAATTCCTTTTTGGGATCCCAAACCCTAAACCCCAAACCCTAAACCCGAAACCCTAAGCCCTAAACCCTAAACCCCAAACCCTAAACCCTAAACCCAGGATTCCCCGAGCCAAGCGGAACGCCTCCTTCCACCACCCTGGCTGCCTTTTCCAATGCGTGCACATGTTTGACAAGGTCCGGCAGTGCTATCGGTTCCTCGCAATACGCTTTGAAGCCCAAAGGTTTAGAGCGTTTAGGGTCTTAGGGTTTTAGGGTTCTAGGGTTCTATGGTTTAGGGGTAAGAGTTTGTGGCGCTGGACGCAATTACGGTATCAACACGTGGTGGGGCTCACGTAGGTATGGTAGTCCCCAAAGCGTTCATCACCCACTTCCGCCCCTCAAACCCATTAAACCCCAAGCCCCATGTACCGTAACCCGCCTAAACCTTAGCCCCTACATAAAATTACCCTATACCCACCAACGAATCCCAAAGCCACATAGTTGCCCCATACCCTGCAACATAACACCCGAAAGGCTATAAAGCGCCGAGGTTGGTGCAGAAGTTTGAGACAGAGGCCGGCCATAGCTTCTCCTGGATTGTCCGCAGCCGGCCCGATCTTCTGTGGCACGCCGACAAGACGCACCTGGGTTATCCATTCACAACCCAGGTTGCTCCCTATACATACATATACATATACGTAGATACAGCTTTTCATGAGTAGATTTAATGTATACACATATATAGATCTATATATATATATATATGTATCTATATATATATGAGCCCGCCGCCTTTAGGGTCTATTTAGCTTTGGGTTTTTCTTATTGCTTTAAAAGAGCGAATATAAACATCGTAATACAAAAATACATATTTACACCTACATATGGCACGCAAATCTCATGCCCAGCGGTTCTAGGCCTAGCCGCACGCCATTACGAACTGCGAATTTCTGGTTATTCTTATTTTCATTTGTTTCTCTTTGCTGTCTGTGTATGCGTGTTCTTTTTTCAGCCTGCGTGAAAAAGTCGCTGTTTGGCTGCGGCAGAAGGGAAAGAGAAGTGAGAGAGGAGAGACAACAAGGAGGCCATTTTGATTTTCTGGAAGGGTATTGAAAAGAAAAGAAAAGACAAGAAACAAGGAGACGGATGGCACTCTTCTTTATCTATCATCTCTCCCTTCCTTGCCTCTCCCGTTTCCCTCTATAATTCAAAAGACAAGACTTTTTTTGGTCTTCGCAGATCTCTCTCCTCTTCAGGAAGCCCCCTTGCCCGTATTTTGCTTGCTTTCTGAAACGACAAGGAAAACAACACATAGAAAGAGAGGAAAGGGAATGAAACAATAGGCAGTGGAGCTCTTCAGTGTCTTTCCCTATCTCTTTTCTTCTTTTTCTTTTTCATTCAATAAGGAAAAGAAGCTTCCTTTTGTGTGTTTTTGAAATTCAAAGAGAACAGGAGACGGGAAGGGAGAGAGAAAGGAGAGAGGAGAGATCAAAAGGAATGCAATTTTAATGGGAAGAGCAATGAAAAGAATGGAAGAGAAATGAAGACAGGAGAGGGAGGTGCAAAATCAGGCTAAGAGAAGATGGTGCTCGTTTTCATCTTTCTTCTCTTGTTCTTTTCCCTGTCAAATAGAAAACAAAAGGAAGAACAATGAACATGCAAAGGAACCCGTTTTCTTTTTCCATTTGGGAACAAGGAAAGAACAGAGGCGATAGGGCGAGAGGAGGGATTTGCTGAAGCATGGGGAGGGTCTACGGACAAGGAGCCAACCCCGCTCAGTTTCCCCATCCATTGAAACAGGAAAAGAAAGGAACAGGGCCTCCATTCCCCTCTTGTTCTTCCTTTCTTGTGTTTTTGTCATATCAAGGGGAACAGGAGAAGAGAAGGGAGAGAGAAGAAGAGAGGAGAGACAACAAGGATTGCATTTGTACTGGGAAGAGCAAAGAAAAGAATAGAAGAGAGATGAATAAAGGAGAGGGAGAGACAAAATAAGGCGCAGAGAAGATGGCACTCTTCTTTATCTATCCTCTCCCCCTTATCTCTCCCTGCCCTCTTTCTTTTCGAAATAAGAAAACAAAAAGGAAGAACTATGAGAAGGAGAAGGGGACGGAAAGGAACGGAAAGGATAGGCCGATAGGAGGGGTATGATGAAGTATGGCAAGGTCCACGCGCCAGGAGTCACCCTCTGCTTACCCTTCCACTGCCTTATCATACAAGTTCCTTTCTTGCGCTGTATCAGTTGAAAGGAAACAGAAGGAGAAAAGGGAAAGGGAAGTGAGAGAGGAGAGATGACTTGGACGGCATTTTTCTGGAAGCGCAACTGTACCGGAATGTGGCCACAACAAGCAGGCCAGGGAGGCTCAGGCGGGGCAACTGTAGCGGAATGTGGCCACAACAAGCAGGCCAGGGACTCTCCCCAATTAGAAAAAAACCAATCTTGCTCTTCGCAGATAGATAAGTGCCCTTCTTCCACTTCAGGAAATCGCCTTTCCCAAATTTTGCTTTTTGAAGCGAATAAGAAAAACAACAGATAAGAGGACAGGGAATGACTAGGTAAAGAGAGGGGCTCTTCAATTGTGCGTTACTTTTCCTTCTTGGGGGATGTCCTTTTTTTCTCCCTTGAAGATGCAGAAAACTATCAAAAGGAACACCCGTTCCATCGCCCATTTACTCTTCAATTCCCTTCCTTATCTCCTATGCTTTTTTCTTTAGTCATTGCAACAGGAGAAGACAGGAGAAGGGCCTCCATTCCCCTCTTGTTCTTCCTTTCTTGTGTTTTTGTCATATAAAGGGGAACAGGAGAAAGAGAAGGAGAGAGGAGCGATGAAAGGAACACACTTTTAATGGGAAGAGCCAAGAAAAGAATGGAAGAGAGATGAATAAAGGAGAGGGAGAGACAAAACAAGTTGCAAAGAAGATGGCGCTCTTCTTAATCCATCCCCTCTCCCTTATCTCTCCCTTCCCTTTTTCTTTTCGAAATAAGAAAAACTAAGCAGGAAGAATTATGAAAAGGAGAAGGGTAAGGAAAAGAGCAGAAGAGATAGGCCGAAAAGAGTGATATGATGAAGTATGGCAAGGTCCACACGCAAGGAGTCACCCTCTGCTTACCCTCCCACTGCCCTTATCATACAAGTTCCTTTCTTGTGGTTTATCAGCTAAACGGAAACAGAAGGAGAGAAAGGAAAGAGAAGTGAGAGAGGAGAGACAACAAGGAGGTCATTTTAATTTTCTGGAAGGGTATTGAAAAGAAGAGAAAAGACAAGAAACAAGGAGACGGATGGCACTGATCTTTATCTATCATCTCTCCCTTGCTTGTCTTTCCCTTTTCCCTCTATAATGAAAAAAAAGGCGCCCTCTCTCGTCTTCAGGAACCCGTTCACTTTTTCCGTTTGGGAACAAGGAAAAGAACAGAGGCGATAGGGCGAGAGGAAGAATTTGCTGAAGCATGGGGAGGGTCTACGGGCAAGGAGCCAACCCCGCTCACTTGCCCCATCCATTGTGAAAAGAACAGGGCCTCCATTCCCCTCTTGTTCTTCCTTTCTTGCGTTTTTGTCATTTCAGGGGGAACAGGAGAAGAGAAGGGAAAGAGAAGGAGCGAGGAGAGATAAAAAGAACACAATTTTAATGGGAAGAGCCAAGAAAAGAATAGAAGAGAGATGAATAAAGGAGAGGGAGAGACAAAACAAGGCGCAAAGAAGATGGCACTCTTCTTTATCTATCCTCTCTCCCTTATCTTTGCAAGGAATAGAACAGACAGGAAGCAAGGAGACGGAGTGACAAAACTTGTCGCAAAGCTTTATATATCTCCCTTGTCTCTCCCTAATTAGAAAAAACCAATCTTGCTATTCACAGATAGATAGGCGCCCTTCTTCCTCTTCAGGAAATCGCCTTTCCTTTATTTGGCTTTTTGAAGCGAATAAGAAAAACAAGAGATAAGAAGAGAGGACAGGGAATGACTAGGTAAAGAGAGGAGCTCTTCAATTTTCCTCTCTATCTCTTATGTTACTTTTCCTCCTTGGGGGATGTCCTTTTTTCTCCCTTGAAGATGCAGAAAACTATCAAAAAGAACACCCGTTCCATCGCCCATATACTCTTCAATTCCCTTCCTTATCTCTTATGCTCTTTTCCTTATTCATTGCAAGAGGAGAAGACAGGAAAAGGGCCTCCATTCCCCTCTTGTTCTTCCTTTCTTGTGTTTTTGTCATATAAAGGGGAACAGGAGAAGAGAAGGGGAAGAGAAGGAGAGAGGAGCGATGAAAGGAAGACAATTTTAAGGGGAAGAGCCAAGAAAAGAATGGAAGAGAGATGAATAAAGGAGAGGGAGAGACAAAACAAGGCGCAAAGAAGATGGCACTCTTCTTTATCTATCCTCTCTCCCTTATCTCTGCAAGGAATAGAACAGACAGGAAGCAAGGAGACGGAGTGACAAAACTTGTCGCAAAGCTTTATATATCTCCCTTGTCTCTCCCTAATTAGAAAAAACCAATCTTGCTATTCACAGATAGATAGGTGCCCTTCTTCCTCTTCAGGAAATCGCCTTTCCCTTATTTGGCTTTTTGAAGCGAATAAGAAAAACAACAGATAAGAAGAGAGGACAGGGAATGACTAGGTAAAGAGAGTAGCTCTTCAATTTTCCTCCCTATCTCTTATGTTACTTTTCCTCCTTGGGGGATGTCCTTTTTTTCTCCCTTGAAGATGCAGAAAACTATCAAAAGGAACACCCGTTCCATCGCCCATTTACTCTTCAATTCCCTTCCTTATCTCCTATGCTTTTTTCTTTAGTCATTGCAACAGGAGAAGACAGGAAAAGGGCCTCCATTCCCCTCTTGTTCTTCCTTTCTTGTGTTTTTGTCATATAAAGGGGAACAGGAGAAAGAGAAGGAGAGAGGAGCGATGAAAGGAACACACTTTTAATGGGAAGAGCCAAGAAAAGAATGGAAGAGAGATGAATAAAGGAGAGGGAGAGACAAAACAAGTTGCAAAGAAGATGGCGCTCTTCTTAATCCATCCCCTCTCCCTTATCTCTCCCTTCCCTTTTTCTTTTCGAAATAAGAAAAACTAAGCAGGAAGAATTATGAAAAGGAGAAGGGTAAGGAAAAGAGCAGAAGAGATAGGCCGAAAAGAGTGATATGATGGATTATGGCAAGGTCCACACGCAAGGAGTCACCCTCTGCTTACCCTCCCACTGCCCTTATCATACAAGTTCCTTTCTTGTGGTTTATCAGCTAAACGGAAACAGAAGGAGAGAAAGGAAAGAGAAGTGAGAGAGGAGAGACAACAAGGAGGTCATTTTAATTTTCTGGAAGGGTATTGAAAAGAAGAGAAAAGACAAGAAACAAGGAGACGGATGGCACTGATCTTTATCTATCATCTCTCCCTTGCTTGTCTTTCCCTTTTCCCTCTATAATGAAAAAAAAGGCGCCCTCTCTCGTCTTCAGGAACCCGTTCACTTTTTCCGTTTGGGAACAAGGAAAAGAACAGAGGCGATAGGGCGAGAGGAAGAATTTGCTGAAGCATGGGGAGGGTCTACGGGCAAGGAGCCAACCCCGCTCACTTGCCCCATCCATTGTGAAAAGAACAGGGCCTCCATTCCCCTCTTGTTCTTCCTTTCTTGCGTTTTTGTCATTTCAGGGGAACAGG